TAAAGCTTTAAAAAATAATGTTTAGTTAAAGTATTATAAAAAGTAGTCATAGTTATCATAGCTAAGATATAATAAGTTGTTTGATATGTATGTGTGCGCTAGTTATGTCTTTGTATGTTGGGCAGTAATGCCCACGTAAAGTTAGATAGCGCGCTGGCCGCACTGTTGGGTTAGCTCAGCTCGCACTGGCAGAACGTTATCGTGAGCGTTCAAGGCTGGATGCTTGCTGTTTCTCTATGTTAGTCTTTACTGTGTATACAATGGCTTAGGATAGCAAGATAGTTTGACATTAATAAACTAAAATATTGTGTTCTGTACAAATTGTGAATTTATATTTATTGATATTAACCCGTGCACCCCCAAATGCAATAATTTAACAGAAATCGATAGGAATCGATAAAAATCTAGTGGACTCCAATCGTTGTAAATATAATTTGAATAGCCTTTTTATTAAAATCGATTAGAAATTAAAAGTCAATAGAAATGGATTATTGTTGATAAAATTTTATTTGATTCTAATCGACGAAAGTGTAATTTTAATAAACTATTTATTAAAATCAATTAAAATACATATAGTCCATAAAAATCGATTAAAATTAATTGTTTCATTTTATTGCGATTTACAGCAATAGGGATAGAAATTTTTTTTATTGATTTCAATCGATTTCTATAGAACTTTTTTACTAAAATGATAAAAGTCAATTTAAAAAATCTGTCACTTTTAATCTACTTTAATGGCATATACATTTAATTGCTTTTAATGAACTTTACAAAGATTCGTTAATACTTTTCTATTGTAAAAAGTAGGTGAAAGATTCACACTTAAAAACGATTAAATTTTTTTTTATCGATTTCTATCAAACATTTCCAGCAGGGAAGACTATCTTAAATATAAGATCGGACTATGAATACCGACCTAGGTGTTCGCGTTACGATAGAACATACTCTAAGGCGCAATTAGGAGCATGCTCCATGTGCCTCACCCAGACATATAGAATAGACCGGCTCCTACCGTAGGAGAGAGATGATTCTGGGTATCTCTGTCCTTCTTTTTTGTCTCGTGGTGGGGACACTGTAGGAGTTGAGGGGAAAGCAGTATGCATGCTTGCTTCGTTTTCACTCATCCCATCAGTATTCCCACCACGAGACAAAAGAGAAGGACAGAGATACCCGGAATCATCTCTCTATCCTTTAGATCTTTCAAGACTGCCTCCTACGGTAGGGGCCGGTCTATTCTAATATGTCTATGGCCTCACCTTCGATGATGGTGCAGTTGGGGAAAATGTGCGCGCATATATAAAATATAAATTAATAGATAAATATAAAATATGAATTAATAGACAAATTCTTTAAACGAAAATGCATAACAAATTCTCTATCTGTATATATTGGCACTGTATGTTCAACATAGTCGGTTATGTATGTTCTAGGTATTCGTCGGACGAATCCTTCATTTCAATAATTGCGCTAACAGCAATATCTGCAAATATAAATTATATAAAATTCAATAAAAATGCACAAACTAAAAAAAAGGCGAATTTAAAATAAAACCAATCTTTAGAAATTATATTAACACAAGATTAGAACGCTACATCTTCTTAATACTTACTTTGTATTTTGTCATCGTTTTCATTTTCAAAATTATTAATAGCCAAGGGTAATAGATTTTGTTTTAAATTCATCATTAATATTATCAATTATAATATTATTAAGTATAATATTGAAATCAGTAAAAGTATCAAGATGTTGTCAGTTAGGATCTCTAGTTGTCAGTAATGTGTGATTGGTTGGAAGCAAAAAAAGAAGGGAAAGTGCCTCAAGTCCGTTCGTGTCATCAAACGTTGGTGCTGTCACGTCTCAGTGACTTACTTTTTCCCTAGATACCTCGGCTCTAGAGTAAAGTGCGCTCTCTTTATTTTCAAGGCAACCTGCTTACACCGGCTATACCTTGGGGATGCCAAGAGCGAGGATCTGACTTGTCGATAACGGAAAAATGAGAAAGCCGCGAAACTTTATGATAGGATAAATTGATTGAATAAGATGAGATTATTTAACATATATACGTGTGTAATAAGTATCTATTAGAATGGAATTTCAAAATTCTCTATTAATTCCATTAGTTGATCGATATCAATATCACCTGCGATATATTGATCTATGAATTCTAATAATATTTCAAGGATTTGAGCTTGCTCATTGGCTGTTAGGGTGAAAATCTTTATCATTGCACAAAGGTTTCATTGGAGAGTCTGTAAATAGTTCTCTATTTCACACTGGTTTTCCGGTAACTGAGATTTTAATTGAGTTATTAGATCCGCTGGTTCGGAGGAAGGGCTTCCAATAATATCTTTATATTTGAGAATTTCTAAGTAATAGTTGTAAAAAGAATCGAATTCTACGTTTGTAGTAATTGGTTGACAAAGTTTCTGGGGAGTAAAGTTTTCTGGTAAATAAAAGAGAAATTTAGCTTTGATCTTTAGAGCGGATATAAAACTTTCAGGAAGGAAAACCCTTCTATCTGATTTGACGTAATTAAGGTTTGAGTTTGCTTTTAATCTTTATTTCGACGGAATCGGGAGATATCGCGATATTCACGGATTATTTTACCAGCTCTATGCTTTTTCTTCCTAGATTTCAATTGCGTATTCACTATTTAAGGAATTGATTGAGGAAATTAATGTGTATTTATTTTATTATTATTATTATTATCTGGGTTAGCGTCAGCTCAAGTTATTAACCTGTGCAATTAATTTTTGCGATTTTAGTTTAACTGAAACGTCAATAAATTATAAAGATATGGATGTCTTCGGCATGACAGAGGATGCCCGGAGACGACGGGACTTTTAAGGCGGAGTAACGTTATGATAACGGAGTTTGCATAAAGGTAAGGAAATTAGGATGCATCCGGCATGACAGAGGATGCCCGGAAGCGACAGAAAAAGGGAGAAAGCACAAGAAGATTTTCAGGCGGCACCGAGAAGATGCTGTATCCTTGTATAAGGAAAGACGTTTGAGTTGATAGCAGTAGATTATATAATTTCAAATTTCGTTTATATATTCCGTGAAGCGCCGGTTAACGAATTAATTTAGGAAGTTGGATGCCTCCGGCATGACAGTGGATGCCCGGAGACGATGGAAATCTGGGGTCGGCTAAAACTAGTAATGAATCTTTTTGGAGTAAAAATAGGAGAGTGCAGAAGTCTCCGGCATGACAGAGGATGCCTGGAGAGATCTTAAGGGAAGGAGGCACTCGACGCTTAACGGATGAGAGCTATATAATTTTAATTAATAATTATCTTGACGCTTGCCAGAATAAAATGATAAGTTATTGCAATTTTTATGTTGATTAGGAAAGGAATACTATCAGCAGCATGCCAGTGCTTGACAGTATTATTTATTTATTTATTTAATTCTTGATATCTTGTTTCAGGAAGTGTAGTGAATGCAAGGAAGGTGAACGAATAATTGAGTTTGAAAACGAGAGAATAAAATAAAGGAATAGAATAATATAAAGGAATCTGGTACTTACCCCTCAGAGGTGGATTTCTGCTGATTGTAGTCGCCTTTGTATATGCGAGATCTGAGTCTCTCTAAAAATTGAGACGGTAAATATGCACTATTATAATTCTTTTATTTGAATTTGACCGAATGATATAGTAAATTGATACAAAAGTATAGTTTAGTTATTACGAATAGCAAGAATATAAAAGTAATAGCGACGAAATAATACTGACAAAAGCGACTAACAGCAAGTCTTTTCTACTGAATAATTATTACTACTGTTTTCCCATTATTACTGTTCGCTCGCGCCCGAAATCCGGAGATTATATACTAGTAATTCCTTTGTTCCTTGCATGATCTTTTGTTAAAGGAATTCTCGAGTAAGGTGATCTCTTCATCGGACCACGTCGTACTCGGAAGCACCACCGAATTTCTTATTAATTGTTTAGACATAGATATCTTTTTCATCGAAGCGCGGCGGTGATCAAAGGGTAATGCGTGAATTTCATCGGAGGTGTCGATCGACATCTCCGAAAAATCGATGTTTGACATATTTATGACTTCCTCTTTGATTACCTCGCGCAAAAGTTATGCGCTCTTAATTTTAATACTAATATCTAACGCAATCGGTATTAAGATTATAGAATCGTTATATATGTATAACTTCCCTTATATTTTAGAAAAGATTTAGAAATATAACTCAATTTAGATAGAATAATCAAATTTAAATTATAGCACATAAAGGAAATTATTTACACTGGTTGTAAATTCATGATGAGTTTAAATAAAGCATTTCAAAGAGTTGAAATAATTTGGTAGTTATTTATTTAAAATTAATCCAATAATTTCTTTGAAATACCTTATTTACTTAAATTATCTACTTCGGTCGCATTTATTTAAATCTAAATTTTAAATTTAACATATATAAAAAGTCCTTATTATATATTGATTGAGGAGTACATAGTTAATTAGCAGGTTAAATAACCGTGTATAATAGAAACGGTAAGCAAGTGTTGAATGTTAGAATTCATATACGCGTATATTAAAATTAAAATTTGTAATAAAATCGAATATTCGTTCTTACTCCGTGGTTATACTAAAGAAGCAAGATGGATAAGTGGATAATAACTAAATCTAGTAATTTTTAAAATGGCGGGACGTCACAGTGCACATGAACTCATCTGAACTAACCGTCATCGTACTTGTGATCCAAGTGTTCTCTGGAGTATATTGGAGCATGCGACGCGAACAAACCTCTTATGGGAGCGTCCCGTTTGATCACGTTGCGATTGACCACAACCAATTATATCGACCTGTGCCTAGAGTAACCAGCAACGATTAACCAATCAGAGAGTCCTATTTTGAATTGGCCAATTGGCGACGTGGTCAATCGGGTGCCACCCACCTCTTATTATTGGGTCTGTTCGTTTTAGCTGCACTGCTGCACTAGTGCAATTAGTTAGAGTGAAAGAAAGTACGTTTGTCTCTTTCTAACTTATTGCACTAGTGCAGCAGTGCAGCTAAAACGAACAGACCCATTGCCTGTTGCCTAGCATTGTGCAAGGGTCTTTACTACCTCCATTGTCAGACGGTCCTTAAGAAAAAACAAATAATGACAAAAGAGGAAATTTAAACAAAGCGATTTTAACATTACATTGTGAGAAAATGCCGGTTTATCAGGAAGCAGAAGTAATTATATCTTTATAATATTAGAAATATATTAATAAATATTTGTGAATTTTTTCCATATACATATTTTTTTGGTAAATATGTGTAATAATCTATATCTATTTAGCAAATCCAAGCACAAACCATTATTGTTATTCATCCTGGCTCTATGTATCTACGTATGGGTCGTGCTTCTGATCTAAAGCCTGTTACATTGTTACACGCAGTAGCAAGGAGACGTTTACCAAGTGGAATAAAATACAAGGACAGTTTCCTGCCATCAGCTGTAATATTAGTAAGTATAAAAAGTATGAAGTAAATAAATATGAAAAGTATAAAGTAAATAAATATGAAGTATATATGGCAAGAAAGTTTTATTATCAACATTTGTCTTTTATAGACAAAAGAGTTAACACAAGCAATGGAAGAGTCTCGACTGCAGGTATCCCATACTTTACAATCATGTTTACAATCAGATGGGTGTCGAAGGTATGCAACTCCACCACAACAAATAGCAGCTTTCAATCGCAGATCTATCCCAGAAATCTCTTCCCCGTGTAACATGAAATGGACAAAAACTGGTCATGACATTGTTGTCGGTGATGATATTTTATCATTAGATCCAGAGGAAGAATCTAATTTTAATATCCATTTTCCTTATAAAAGAGGTGAACTTAATATTCATATGGGTCCAGGCGGTAGCTTAACAGCCATTATGGCAGATTTAAAAACAATTTGGGAATATGTATTGACTGAAAAGTTAGATATTCCTTTGAGAGACTTGAAACACTATCGTGCAGTCCTTGTTGTACCTGATATTTATCATCGATCTTATTTAAAAGAATTGACCACATTACTGTTGGACGAAATTGGTTTTGGTCGCTGCATTCTGTTACAAGTTAGTTCTCGCTTGTAATACTAATATATTTGCTATTTATATTTATATATAGTCTTTACAAAAAGAAAGTCTTATTTCATCACATTTCTTATTTTTTAAATTTTATTTTAATCAACTGTTGTATATTTTGACAAGTAATTTGAAATTTAAATAATTGCTAATGCTTTATTATTGATAGGATCATGTAGGTGCACTATTTGGTGCGGGTTTAGGTTACGCATGTGTGGTAGATGTTGGAGCGCAAAAGATATCGGTGTCATGTGTGGAGGATGCAATCTCTCATAAGGATACGCGAGTACGTATGGATTATGGCAGTGCAGATGTTACACAGACATTTTTCTGGCTCTTACAAAAGTCCGCATTTCCATATAAATTATGTGATCCCATCAACAAATTGGATGCATTGCTTTTAGATCAATTAAAAATAGATTTCTGTCATGTAGATTTAAATGTATGTGGTTCACAAGAGAAAACGTTTGTTATTAGAAAGCCAAAAAAACAAACAGAAACATATACTTTGCAGGTATCTCTTTATTCATTCTTATAAAAGAACATAACTTTATTCGTACTTTATAAAAGAAAAAGTTATTTGTTTCCTTACATATTTAACTATATCAAAACAGGTAGGCGATGAATGTTTAATAGCACCTTTGAGCTTATTTCAACCTGAATTGTTTAGAATTACTGGAATCCATAATGTTCACGTTCAAAAAAGATCATTAGGTGATCCAGAAGACCCTTATGATGAGAATTATTTAAGGGAAACAAGCGTAAGTGTACATTCTTTTTACAAACAAGTATATTTATTTGAAGCTTTATATAAAATTTTTCTACTAAGTATTTTTTATATAAAAAAAAAAAGATTTATGTCTATTATATAAAATAAAAACAAACGTTAAAAATGTATTTTTAATGATATATACACACACACACACACACACACATATATATACATACATACATACATACATACATACAGGGTGTTCCATTTTAACATTGCCATCGAAATATCTCGTAAAGTCTAAAAGATACGAAAAAATGTTTCAGACAAAAGTTATATGGTTTCGAGGGGGGCATAAGATCGTGCCATTAGTTTGACCTTGAAGAGTCACCTGAAGGTCACTTCCAACTTTTTAAATGGAACACCCTATATGTTTTTGCATATTCTTGTAATTCATCTCGAAAGCTTTCCAAAACACTATAAGTAAAAACACTATTAGTTTTCATTAAGTAATTTCCGAGTTATGAGGCTTGAAATCATTTCTTAATTTTACATAAATTGTAAAATATTTTGTAAAATATTCATTTTTCAATTTTCTTAATACTTTTATATACAAAATAATGAGAGGAATCGATTGGTGTAAAGAAAACACATAATTGTTTCGAAAAAAAAAATGTAATTTGCAATTAACAATTATTTTTTTTCGTCTGAAACATTTTTTCGTATCTTTAAAGCTCCAATAAGAACAGAAATAGTATCTATTCTCTGCTTCTATTGGCAAATATTTTCTGTTCCGCATATTTATTGGTGAATAGTTTCTATTCCTTATTTCTATTACCAGTTGCCTAGCATCGTGCAAGGGGCTGTAGACTTTACGAGATATTTCCATGGCAAAATTAAAATGGAACATCCTGTATATATGAAATCTTTATAAATTTGAACGATATCACTTTACATTTCTCTCAAGTTTAATATTGAATATTTCTGTTTTAATATTTATTAATAATACCATTTAAATTTAATTAGATCTATTTTTGTTTCAGAGACGTGGAATGAAAGAATCTTTAGATCATTCGTCAGAAATACAGGAGGAAACGGCGAATATACCTACAAATGCGGGCGAAGATGAGGTCGTAGTCGACACGGTCAACGATAATGTACCTAGTTTGTCTAATCGCGATTTAGAAGCTCCTCGAGATTTTGTGATCCCACAACAATTATTAGGTCTTGATCAAGCTATATTACAAAGTATTGAACGATGTTGTAAGTATAAAGTTATTTTTTAAAGTTATTTTTTTCAAAATAGCTTATAATTAGAAGAGACTACATGTTATACAATTAATTTTATTTCAATAGCCAACGAAGATTTTAAAAGAAAAATGTATAGTTGCGTGCTCGTTGTTGGATCAGGTTTAAAGTTTAAAGGTATTGGTACATGGCTTCGCAATCGAATATCCCTTCAAACACCTTATATGTACAGACCTGGTAAGTATTTAAAAAAACAATTATACGATATATTACGAAATATATATATAGTGGTATTTCAAAAAAGAAAAACATTTTCTTTTTAAATCGGGTGCGCTCTATCGAATGGTAATATTTTCAACTTCTGGTTCCGGCGGGAATAGATGATTCACCGGAAGTGCATTTTTTTAAATGGAACCACTTATTTTTCATTGCATATTCTTGTAGCTTACCTCGAGAGCTTTCCAAAACACTGTAATAAATTATTTTTCCATGAAGTACTTTTCGAGTTATGAGACTTGACATCATTTATTATAATTTTACAATTTTATTAAACCATAAAATATCTTGTAAAATATTCATTTTTCGATTATCTTACCTTAATACTTTTATATACAAAATAATGAGAGGAATCAATTGGTGTAAAGAAAACACATAGTTGTTTTTAAGAAAAAATATGGAATTGTTAATTGCAAATCACATTTCATTCCTCTCATTATTTTGTACATAAAAGTATTGAGGTAAGATAATCGAAAAATGAATATTTTACAAGATATTTTATGGTTTATGTAAAATTAAGAAATGATTTCAAGCCTCATAACTCGAAAAGTACTTTATGGAAAAATAATTTATTATAGTGTTTTGGAAAGCTCTCGAGGTAAGCTACAAGAATATGCAATGAAAAATAGGGAATTCCATTTAAAAAATGCACTTCCTGTCTGAATCGCCTATTTGCAGCCGGAACCAGAAGTTGAAAATATCACCATTCGATAGAGCGCACCCGATTTATAAAGAAAATGTTTTCACTTTTTTGAAATAACCACTTCTCTAGTTTTTAAATGGGTAATCTGAAACAACATACGTGAGTATACAGGGTGTCACTTAATTGGCGCCCATTATTTGTATAGCGATAGTCCTTGTGGAAAACTTAGTCGAAAAGTCCTGAACCATTTTTTTCTATAATGAAAAAAATTTGAAACTATTTTTTTCGTCTATAATGCGAAAAACTTTATTTTGTACTAAAAATCATATTTCTTAAAAGCGTTTCCTTAAAGAAAATTTTATCAAAGAGGCTAGAGGTCGGTGCTTATTGGCGCAACTTTACTCAATAATTATCGCTTTATTAAGCATTATAGAAAAAAATGATTCAGAATTTGTCGACTCAGTTTTCCATGAAAAATATTGCTATACAAATAGTGGAAGCCAATTAAGTGACACCCTGTATATATTTACATACGTACAGGGTCTTCAAAAAGTCCCGGAACACTAAAATATCTCGAAAACGATCAACTATAATAAAAAATATGTAAGAAATAAAGTTATAGAACTAAATAAAATATACCTAATCATGATAAGAATTTGACTTTGGATGAAGTACTCAAAGTCATATGAGAGACAAAATGATTTTTTTAAATGGAACGCCCCATTTTTTATTGCATAGTCTTATAACTTATTTCAAGAGCTTTCCAAAACATTATAATTAAGTATTGTTTCATTGAGTACCTTTCAAGTTATGAGGCTTGAAATAATTTCTTAATTTTACATAAACCATAAAATATCTAGTAAAATATTCATTAGTGTAAAGAAAAAACATAGTTGTTTTCTTTACACCAATTGATTACTCTCATTATTTTGTACATAAAAGTATTAAGGTAAAATAATCGAAAAATGAATATTTTACAAGATATTTTACAGTTTATGTAAAATTAAAAAACAATTTCAAGCCTCAACTTGGAAAGTACTTAATAAAAACTAACTTAATTATAGTGTTTTGGAAAGCTCTCGAGATAAGCTATAAGAATATGCAATACAAAATGGAGAGTTTCATTTAAAAAAATCCACTTAACCTTCATATAATATGAATACTTCATCCAAGGTCAAATTCTTCTTTTCATCATTAGGTACATTTTATTTAGTCTTACAACTTTGATCCTTATATATTTTTCATTAGATAATCGTTTTCGAGATATTTTAGCGTTCCGGGACTTTTTGAAGACCCTGTATGTATGTATGTATGTATGTATATGTGTATATATATATATATATACAGGGTGACCCATTTTAACTTAGGCAGCCAAATAACTCGAAAAATAAGCACACTACGAAAAAATGGTTAGAATCAAAATTTCGTCATTTCAAGGGGGACGTACAATGACGTTAAAATCAGCCCCTCCACCCCTCCCCCTGGGCTGTGAGGGGGGGCAAGTTTGAAATCTTAAATGGAACCCCTTATTTTTCATTGCATATTCTTGTAGCTTATCTCGAGAGCTTTCCAAAACACTATAATTAAGTACCTTTTTATTAAGTACTTTTTGAGTTATAAGGCTTGAAATAATTTCTTAATTTTACATAAACCATAAAATATCTAGTAAATCATTCATTTTTCGATTATCTTACCTTCATACTTTTATGTACAAAATAATGAGAGGAATCAATTGGTGTAAAGAAAACACATAGTTGTTTCTAAGAAAAAATATGTAATTTGCAATTAACAATTCCATATTTTTTCTTAAAAACAACTTTATGTTTTCTTTACACCAATTGATTCCTCTCATTATTTTGTACATAAAAGTATGAAGGTAAGATAATCGAAAAATGAATGATTTACTAGATATTTTATGGTTTATGTAAAATTAAGAAATTATTTCAAGCCTTATAACTCAAAAAGTACTTAATAAAAAGGTACTTAATTATAGTGTTTTGGAAAGCTCTCGAGATAAGCTACAAGAATATGCAATGAAAAATAGGGGGTTCCATTTAAGATTTCAAACTTGCCCCCCCTCACCGCCCAGGGGGAGGGGTGGGGGGGGCTGATTTTAACGTCATTGTACGTCCCCCTCGAAATGACGAAATTTTGATTCTAACCATTTTTTCGTAGTGTGCTTATTTTTCGAGTTATTTGGCTGCCTAAGTTAAAATGGGTCACCCTGTATATATACAGGGTGTTGAAAAATTAAGTGCCATAAATTTGTGTGATGAAAGAAGGAATCAATATAAGCATTTTAAGTATAGGAACCGTGGGTCGGCGACGCTTAGTTACGGCGTGACAAGGGTTTAATTAAATTGTCACAATGTCTGCAATACAATGATTTTATTCGGTTAATTTTAGATGTTTATAATAAATGTTCGAAATTACGACCGCCAACGTTCCGACAAAAATCAGAACGACTTTACGGCTGAAGCACGCAATCATCTGACAGAGACTTTTGGCAACAGATGGATCGGGCGGGGTGGACCTGTGGCGTGGCCTGCAAGGTCACCAGATTTGACGCCTCTCGATTTCTACTTCTGGGGTGCAATGAAAAATATGATTTATTCCGAACTGGTTGAATCCGAGGAGGATCTGGTCGCTCGTATCGTTGAGGCGTCTGAAATTATCCGACAAACTCCTGGAATATTCCAAAGAACGCGGGAATCATTGCTCCGTCGTTCTGATTTTTGTCGGAACGTTGGCGGTCGTAATTTCGAACATTTATTATAAACATCTAAAATTAACCGAATAAAATCATTGTATTGCAGACATTGTGACAATTTAATTAAACCCTTGTCACGCCGTAACTAAGCGTCGCCGACCCACGGTTCCTATACTTAAAATGCTTATATTGATTCCTTCTTTCATCACACAAATTTATGGCACTTAATTTTTCAACACCCTGTATATATATATATATATATATATATATATATATACATATATATATATATATATATATATATCTCAACAATTTCTTCGGTTTATACGCGTATAGTAATGAATAATTATAAATTTTCTTTCAAAAAACAATAATGAGTTTATTCCTTTTTTTATATTATTATTGTAGAACAACTAGATATTATAACTCAGCCAAAGGATATGGATCCTGGCATGACGACTTGGAAAGGAGCAGGAATTTTGAGCTGCTTGGAATCAGCACAGGAATTATGGATTGCTCGAACTGAATGGCATCGCTGGGGAGTGAGAATATTGAGAGAAAGATCTCCTTTTTTATGGTAAAAGAGATACTTGCTTATATATTTATATAATTATATATAATTATAAGCAATATATATATATATATATATATATATATATATATACATACATACATATATATACATACATACATACATACATACATATATATATATATATATATATATATATATATATATATATATGTATATATATATTGCTTATTAATTATATTTATTATAACACATATTTTGTAAGAGAAATAGAAAGAAATAAAAAAGATGAAAACACTTTAGAAATTTCTTCATTTATCATGATTAGTGATTAAAAAATTTGTAATTTTATTGCTGTTGTAGCAACAGAAAAATGTCATTTATTCTTTATATTAATTTTGTAATGTTGATTTCTGACATTAAAAAAAATTATATTAAGAGATAAGTTTCTTATTAATTATTTCTCATAATTGGCTATCTGTATATTCACTACTTATTTGCAAAACTTATAAATTTTATAAATAGTTTTCATCTTTTATGTCAAAAGCATTTAAATATATTCCATTTCAATATTCTTCAGAAAATATGTCAATGTATATATTTATTAAAATATATTGCATTTTCATGCATGTCTTAAGTATATTATGTGATGTATACTTGACTTTATTTCTGGATTAAGCAATCTATATAAAATGATCGCATCTCAACCCCCTTATAAAAAAAAAAAAGAGATGTAGAGATATAAAGTCAAATAATTTGTCTTTATCAAGTGTATTCTGTAAATTCATAAATTACAAATTTTATCGACGATATCATGAATGTAATATCTCGAGAAATAAAATTGTTATCTGACTTGGTAATTATTATTATACTTATATTTTATAACATATGTGTTATAATGTTATAATACACATTTATATTAAAAATTATAATAATAATAATATTAAAATTAAATTTACAACTTACTTTTTATATAATTGTCATACATTGGCATATTTTGAGGAAATGTTTTTATTTGGAGACTCCATAATATATCTATAATATATAATGTTACAAATAGAGTCTTAGTAAGTGTTAGTCTTTATGTGTGTGTGTGTGTGTGTATAAATTATAGGTACATGTAAAATAAAAGGAATTATATATACAAAACTGTAAATATAGTATGAACATAATATAAAATAAATATAGCAGTTATTATTATTGTAACAATTTGAGAAATGCATTTTTGAAAACAAATTACTGTACTATATCAATAATAATATAAGTTTGTAATATAATAAATTTTTACTGGTATTATAATAATTCAGTCATTCTAATTCTAGTTTTATTGTTACGGTGATATTGTACTATGTCATTTTCTATTAGAAAATTTACATAATATAACACATCTGGTATGACATCTACATAAACATCATCTCCTCCTTTCATATAAGCAGATGTCAGTGCCTAAAATAATTCACTTATAGAGCTATATAATACAACTTTGCACATTCGTACAATTAAACAATTTTGTAGAAAATATAGATTATGTATTTGATAAAAAATAATACTTACTGCTAATAATTCTTTGAAGCCCTCATTATCAGGAAAAATTGTATCAACCACAGTGTACTATAAAAAGAGTTTATCAAATTGACAATGAGATGTTGATTTTCCATATCTAATATAAAAACACAATTTTATCTAATAAAAGTATAAAATAAGTTTAAAATTTACATACTAAATCATTTTTCACTTTTTGGAATATACGTTTAGTTATAACAAGTTCTTTTTCATAGGTCTCATTTGCAAAAGTCTCTGCCATATCCAAATAAGCTCCTCTCATTTTCTCCAGTCCATCTTTTTTATTTTTCAAACTATAATAAATATAATATACAAATTGCAATGAAAACTTTGCATGTTGTATTGCATGATACTTACTATGTGATATCTTCTTTAATATCAGAAAAATCACATTTTAAACTATTGAGGAGTTCTTGCATGTTACAAATCTCTTCTTCCATTTCAGTAATTACTTCTACACGTAAGTCAGATGTTCTCAGAATTGGATAATCCTCAGGTTCTATTTGTTGAATTTCTTTCAATAAGCTTTGATATAGTTTTTCTTGTTTCAATTTCACATCATCAAATGAAGACACATTTGATGATTTCAAAGTAAAAATCTCATTATTTGATATTTTGTTTATTAGATCTTCTAAATTTTTTTCTCGTTCTATTTTCTTATCCTTTAACGTTTCAAACGCGTCCTCCAACGTATATTCCATGTTTTTTGAGAAATATATATATATATATATGGATTAAGATTTGTTCTTTTTAGCTGAACTGGTTCAGCTACACTAGTTCAGCTAGGCCCGGTTCCACAACTCGAGTTAATCCGAGTTTAAGGCCCGTTGCAACAGTGGCCAGTTAGCTTAACTAGTAGTAAAATATACATAAGTGAAATATTGAAAATTTATAAATTTTGTAAATAAATGTTTATATATTTCCAATATTTCACTTATGTATATTTTGTGAAAATGCAACTTGTCAAAATCTAACCTAACTTACTGAATTTTGTTTCAGTAGGCGTCTTTCAGGGGCTGTGTTCCAAAATTCACTGCCAGTACTGAAAATCTATAGTGTACGTCACGTAAACTATAGATTTTCAGTATTGGCAGTGAATTTTGGAACGCAGCCAGGGTCGCATCGCTACAGTAGCGCTATTGTAGCGCTACATAAGCGTGTTTCACGTTATTAAAGTGCTAGGCCGGTATTCATAGTCCGATCTTATATTTGAGATCGTCTTAAGTTTGAGCTTGAAATGCTACGCAGCTATTTGATTGGTTGAATGAGGTCTTAAGTCAACCTCCAAGCAAACTTAAGACGATCTTAAATATAAGATCGGACTATGAATACCGGCCCTATAGTACCCAGACAGCATGTCCAAAAAACATCTAAAAGACGACTTAAAAAACGTCTTCTAGAAAGTCCTCTAGACATCTTTAAGACATCTTTTGGCCTTTTTGTGCTGTCTGGGTAGCGCTATAAGGCCCAGTTCCACAATCCAGTTAATCCGAGTTTAAGTAGCAAATGGACCAATCAGGACCCAGTTTAACGTATTAAACTCGGATTAACTGAAGTTGTGGAACCGGGCCTAAAAATACGTTTCAGGACTTTCTGCTACAATTGTAGTGGTCGCCATTTTTTTTCTGCTACAATTGTAGCAAAAAAGCTGTAAAAACTCGGATTAACTGAATTGTGAAACTGGGCTATAATGCGCACCGAAGTGTATACGTTCTTTTTAGCAGAACGTGAAGGGGTCTATTAAGGTGCGGCCTCATTGACGCTAAAAAGTAGCGTCAACCATTGGTTGAACAAAGAGGTAAGTATACTTACCTCTTTGTTCAACCAATGGTTGACGCTACTTTTTAGCGTCAATGAGGCCGCACCTTTATGGCTGCATCCATCGTAGAGTTATTAGAGGAGTTGAATATTTTCTAATTATTCTTTATTAGATAATTTAGGAATTGTTTGGGGAAGTTTAGGAAAATCATTTTAATATTTAGGAAATAATATTTTCTTTTTAATAATAAAAATGTATCGAACGTCAAGTTAGATCGTAATTATGTTTAATATATATTATAAACGGAATCGATTAGAAATCATTTGGGGATAATATATTCATTGATATTTTTATTTGGGAAAGTTGCTTTTTTGTAATTTAAATAAATTATGCAGTCAAAGTAATGCATGCGTTATGCATGCGGCATAAAGGATTCAACCAATCAGAGTTTTTTATTGTGCTGGCCTTTAAGGCCCGGTTCCATAACTCGAATTAATCCGAGTTTAATACGTTAAACTGGGTCCTAATTGGTCCATTCACTACTTAAACATCGGATAAGTGAGGCCCAGTTGCGCACAGAATAAATCGGACACAGGACTCTCTCGGACTCTCTATTGGTCAACCGTCCTAGGCCTCTAAGCATCGGTCGATATGATTGGTTGTGTCCGTTTCATTTTGTGCGCAACTGGGATCCTCCCACTCGGATTAACTGGATTGTGGAACTGGGCCTTAAAGGTCAGCGCACATAAAACTCTGATTGGTTGAATATTTTTATGCCGCATGCATAATGGTGCGGTCTCATGATACGGAACGTATGCGCAATGCGGAATTGGCGGAACGCTCGTGATTGGTTTAACCTGTTTTACGTCTGTTCCGCCGATTTCTATCCGCAAGTTTCTATTTTATACAAATTTTGTGCGGAACTTCGAAATTGTGTGTATGATGAAAAATGTCGAAACAGCAGATATCCGTAAGAATAGTATTAAAAAATATTTTAAATAAGAGTGTAACAAGGAATGGTCCAACTAATGCTAATAATGCGTCAAATAATTGAGGTGCCATTTTAAAATAATCCATATATTTTTCTGTGTCTTATTCGATCAGCATTTCCTTTACAAGATTCTCACTTGCTCCTTGTTGAAATCTTCTTTCTAAGCTGAATATAGGTCGCATCCAATATTTTCATCGTTTTTTAATATTTTCACTTCTTTTTACAATTATATACAATGAATATAATTTTATAATCTTACGGCGTAATTCATTCTTTTTAAATATACACCAACTTTGTTTTAATTTACTTAACAATCCACAAATAATAATAAACAATTTTTCAGAATCCATATTCAATATTAAGTTGTTGTCAGTTTTGAAAGTTATATATGAAATTCATGAATTTTTTGACATATATGTGTGAATCCGATCCGCATAAATTTGTATTTCCTATGTCCCATGCAGCGGAAAATACGGAAGCGTAATTTGCGCGAGCCAATAATGTACGTTGTTCCGATATAGACAACAAAAAAATCTATGGGAAAGAATCTTGTGATTGGCCAACACCAATTGCGCTTCCGCGTTTTTCGCTCCATGGGACATAAGAAAATATATTTCAACGGAACGTAATTGACGGAATGTCTGTGATTGAACGAACTTCGTTCCGCCAATTCCGCATTGCGCATACGTTCCGTATCATGGGACCGCATCATAATGCATTATTTTGATTGCATAAGTTTATTTAAATTACAAAAGAGCAACTTTCTCAAATAAAAGTATCATATTATCCCCAAATGATTTCTAATCGATTCCGTTTATAATATATATTAAACATAATTACGATCTGTTAAACTTGACGTTTGATACATTTTTATTATTAAAAAGAAAATATTATATTGCACATTTATTCGTGTATTGTCTATAAATGACTTTTAAAATCTCAAGAATTCGCGGTTTACAAATCTAGTAATATTAGGCCCAGTTTCACAATCCAGTTAATCCGAGTTTAAGTAGCGAATGGACCAATCAGAATCCAGTTTAACGTATTAAACTCGGATTAACTCGAGTTGTGGAACCGGACCTTAGTAATTTTGTAATCTATAGGTTTTAGTCTCCGCCTTTGGTAATTTCATTTTTCACGGATTTAGCTATATAATTGCATAGTGATTCGTTAAAAAGTTCACGTGAAATCATTGAGTGAAAAGTGGAAAGTGAAAAATTCCACTCAAAATCACATGATCGATGCCCTGATTCGAATCGAGACACCTCCGATTAGACACAGTACAATTGGACACAACTGGCTTTGATTGGCTAATCGTGCTTGATCGTGCTGGTTACCCTAGGCATCGGTCGATATGATTGGCTGTGTCTAATCGTACTGTGTCTAATCGGGCAATCCCCGTTCGAATCTTCCCTTCATGTTACATTACGTGATCTATGTCGTAAATATACACAATAGGGTATACATCTATATGACGATCTGACGATGTTCCGCGGCATAAATATGTAAATATAGTATGGTTGAAAGAAGCGGAAGCTTTCTTACATTTTCCTGAATAGTATTATAATATGCAATTGAGAGAGCTGTAACATTTTGTTGCTCAATGTAATCTCGTAGATATACGAACTCTCATGCGAAATGACGTAAACGGTTTTCCAAGATCCTTACATACCGTATCTCGACCGAAGTTTGATAAGAATGTCATTCAGTTGCCAATGGTGAGAGAAAAAGAAAGAGAAGGATAGAGATGTTATGTTTATATTACGACGAATAGAACGCTTACAAATTTGTAAATTCAAAATATCCAAGAAGAAGGATGGAATGCGCCGAACGGAAGTATCTGTGTATAATTTAACGCTATGCCACGGCAATCTTACACCGCGTACCCTGACATTTCGTTTGTCGACGATGTCAAAATTTTAGGTACTATCATGGACACAGATGTGGAGCTTGGCAAAAGTGAAGGGTGCGAAACTATCCCAGGCTGCTCCGGTTACTCTAGCATGGTGCACAGTAAGAAAGTTATTAAACATGCGTTACGACAGCAAGCCAAAAGGCGTAGAAAGAACACGACAATAGCAGCGGGCAATTCTCGCGCATTGCCTAGAATTGTTGTCAAACCGTTACCTCCACCCCCATCGAATGATCCACCATCTCCGGTTAATAATGTACAGCACATCAATACTGGTAATTATAATACTGCGACATGTCTATTTTTATCTCTGTTTTGTTTCTTATATTGGGCAAAATGGTATTACGGATAATTTTTGAAAATTTATCTGTTATAAAATATAGTCATTGCTTCATTAAATTATAAATATAAAGAATCGGCTTTAAGGAGCGTAAATAAATATTTCAAACTTATTAAGTAAATAAAATTTAATTATACAAGCAAAAAATCAAAGACAATGTCAAGTAATATCAATGTTAAACAATTACTGTAATGTAAAAACAACATGTTGAAAAAGCGGACGTTTCGGCTCGATTATTCAAGCCTTCTTCAGCGCAATAATACTTAAATACATGGATAAAATTAACCGAAAATAAAATTAGAAAATAATGACATAGTAAAATCGCAAAACCGCACGCAAATAATGATAAAGATGTAGACAATGAATTATCAAAATTACATTGGTCCTCTCTAATTCGAATGTTAGAAGATCCATGATGTCCAATATAGTTGTCATTTTTTATAAGATGCTACATAATTCACTGCAAATATATCTGCTTTATACAAATCTGTGGATGGTAACTGAATATTTTAATGTTAGCGATTTGAAGAGAAAAACAATAATCCAACAAACAATAATAATTTATTTGTTATATCACAAGAAGGAGAAATTTATAATATATTTTTCAATTAACGATATGATAAATTCAAGCATTAATATTGAATGGCAAATTTTATGACGAATCAATTTAAATAATTTATATTCTTTTCATAAAAAAAACCATTAGTATCGCATATAAAAGAAAATGTATAATTCTACTGATTTATTACATGTATAATTCGTTAATACAATATGTATACATGTAATACTAGGATATATATGTACACATATATATATATATATATATATATATTTCTTATATTACATTAGTATTACATTTATATACATTATAAAAATTATTTTTAGACACAATTGTGCCAATTTATTGAATAGTCTTCTTCTCCTTGTAATTAATTATTTATTTTATATTATGATTTATTTTATATTACTATTTTATTTTTATGTTAGATAATAATAAATAAAAGCAGCAAAATGTAAAATAATAGGAATAAAGAAATACGAAAAAATGTTATAGAGTAACTGACTTATATATGCACATATATTTATTATGTTTTTAAAATGAATTTTTATTATGATACTTAATATTTTTTGAAGCATAATAAATATATTTCTTATAAAGATAAATTATTGCAATTATGTAATATAATACGGTTGATTTTTACTTTATAATTAATTGAAAACTATTATAAGACAATTAATTTTATTTTCTTGTATATAAAATAGATAATAATTGTAAAAGATAATTTTATTTTTGATGACATGATATTCTTAATAACTGATAATTGAATGTATAATCTTAATAATACATATTTGATATAAAAATAGCAGCGGAAGAACCTGCTGCCACAATGAGAGAAGTTTTGGCTAGTTTACCTGGATTTAGCTTGAAATCAGGCCGTAGACGATCTACGAAGAGATTGTCAGCAACCGCACAATTAGAAGCTGGTCTTGTAGATTTGGAATCACCAGCAAGCATATTAGCAAGTACAAGCTTACGTGCTTTGTTAAATAGGCATACATTTCAAGGCTTACCTCCACTGTATCAACGAAAGCTCGCACAACTCTTGCCTGCTGTAGATAGACAGGTATTTTCTAAAATTTTGTACTTTTTACTTCATAATATGTATCCGTTACTGAAAAACTATTTAGAAATTTTTCAAGTATTTTTGTTAAAAATTAAAAATTATTCTGTTATCTGTCATTGTTAGGATGCTGCAATCTCTGGATTAAACAATGAATTTTTTGCAAGAGCTTGTTTAGAATGGCGGAAACGTTTAGCAGAAGGAGAATTCACTCCAGAAAATCAACAACGCCTGAAAATGGAAGCGGAACGAGATAAAAATAAGCTAGATCCATGGAAAGTGAAACATTTTGAGCCAATATGGGGAGAGAAACGAGAGCCTAAACTTAAATCGACTCTCCATTATATTACCGAGTCACGTTCTAGTGGTGCAGTAACACGTTCAAGTTTAAGACTTCGTTTGGAATCGAATGTGGATATTTCTGCATCGGAACATGTTTATCCTATCGTAATGACAGGAGATAAAATCGATACTAATTGCAAGACCGAAATTAACATAAAGAATTCTGATAGTTTAGCTAATTCTGAAGAAGTGCAAGAAAATTTAATGGCTTTAGATTATAATACATTGTCAGATAATTTGACTGATGAGAAACACTTAAATGATTCCATGCAAGTGAATCCTGTAGAAATAATAGAAGATGTTCATGAAAGTAAAACGGAAGAAATCGACCAGATCGCAGATATTTGTGAGAATAAAGATTTAATTGAAGCTAATGATATTGCAAGCCAAATTTGTCAAGATAACATCTCGAATGTTTATGAAGAAGAAACAGATTTTTCTTCCAATAAGAAAAATTTGCAGCCTTCGGAGAATAATGTAATTGAAACATTAGAGGAAGATACTGTACTGTTGCCTGATGGTAATTCATCACCTAGATCTAACGAACAGGTAGAACGTGCGTCACAGAGTACGTCTGGAGAATCAATTTCACAGTTATCCAATGAATATATATCACAAACATCTATAGATCAAATCTCAAAAGAACAGATTTCACAAATGTCGAACAATCAAATTTATCAGATATCGGATTGCGAAACTACAAGTATCCTTGAAAGCTCATCACCGAAGGATCAAGTTAGATCAACAGATATTATTATAGAGGATACTAATTTGATGAGCAATGATCAAACTGAAACAGCACATGTTTCGCATGAAAACCCAACGGATAGCGAATCACAAATTCCAGAAGGAATGGAAATTGATAGCGAAACCTTACAGCGTATTCATGAACTCGAGGTAGATAAGAGTTTTAATACACAATACATGAGCTATTAACAGATTGTTAATGTGTTGGTAATCTCGACAATTTTTTGCAAAAAATAAAAATATGTTATTATTAATACTAATTATACTTTAGGTACGAGGAGAAATGCGCGAAATGTATGAAGAAATTTCGGGTTGCCCCGAAGAAATAATATATCCTATTCTCGAGGGAATTGAAATGACTTCAAACAATGCAGAAGTAACTGAACCGCAAGTATCTGGACAAACTGAAGATGCTAGGGGATCCGATGTAAACGCTGGTAATGAAGATGAAGCTCTTCGAGAAGCAAATAATTATGTCTGCTCTGAAATGTTAGAATGCAGTTGGACAGTAGATCCAACCATTAATAATATCAACAATAATAATAGAGTAAGTAAATATGATTAAAATAACATTTATACACATACATATACACAGTATGCACACGCACATATGAATTAATTATATATGGTAACTTGTATAAATTGCAAATATATATATATATATATATATATATATATATATATATATATATATACAGGGTGTCCCAAAAGTCCCGAACCGGTCGAATATTTTATAAACTATGCACTTTAGAAAGAAATGTTTCAGACAAAAGTTGTATGGCTTGAAGGGGGCCATCAGATAGTGGCAATGATTTGACATGGGAGAGTCATTTGAAAGTCACGTGAAGATCACCGTCAATTTCTTAAATGGAACTCCCTATTTTTTATTAAATATTCTGGTAGCTCACGTCGAGAGCTTTCCAAAACAATATAATTAAGTTAGTTTTCATTAAGTATTTTCCGAATTATAAGGCTTGAAATCATTTCTTAATTTTACATAAACCGTAAAATATCTTGTAAAATATTCATTTTTCGATTATCTTACCTGAATACTTTTATGTACAAAATAATGAGAGGAATCGATTGGTGTAAAGAAAAAACTTAGTTGTTTTTAAGAAAAAAATATATAATTCGCAATTAACAATTACATATTTTTTTTTTAAACAACTATGTGTTTTCTTTACACCAATTGATTCCTCTCATTATTTTGTACATAAAAGTATTAAGGTAAGATAATCGAAAAATGAATATTTTACTAGATATTTTATGGTTTATGTAAAATTAAGAAATGATTTCAAGCCTCATAACTCGAAAAGTACTCAATGAAGAAATACTTTATTATAGTGTTTTGGAAAGCTCTCGAGATAAGCTACACGAATATATAATAAAAATAGAGGGTTCCATTTAAGAAATTGAAGGTGACCTTTACGTCACCTTCAAATGATTCTCCGAGGTCAAATCATTTCCACTATCTGATGGCCCCCTTCAACTTTTGTCTGAAACATTTCTTTCTAAAGTGCATAGTTTATGAAATATTCGACCGGTCCGGGACTTTTGGGATACCCTGTATATATAATTTTAAAAGTAGCTAACTTTTCGATATAAACAACTTGTCAATTGAAAATCTAAATTTGAGTTTAGATTAGTTATACAAATTAAATTGTTCAAAGAGGAAGATAGGAGAGATTAAAATTTAATACATAAGCATAAATGAGAAACAAAACGCTAGTTTGTTGACTTAGTGCAGTCATTAGTCACTTGTATGTGAAAAAAATTGATAGAGTAGATAAGTTTAATATATAAACTTTATTCACTTCAACTTTACAGTCAAGAAGTGGGTCTTGGTTTACAATGTTTTCTTAGCCTCATTCATACATACATACATACATACATACATCGTTTCCTCATTCACTCTCTATCTCGTACATTTATACATCTATTCTACAGTCTAATTATCCTACCTAATCACAGCCTATATTCAGTCTTTTTCAACAAAAACAAAAACTTCAACTTCAAACTTTCAACTTTAACATTTTCTCCTCCAAAATACCTAGTTCACTTCTCCTATTTTCTTTCTCCCTTCATCTCCTATTTTCTTTCTCCCTTTCGTTTGACCTTTCTTTCCAAAATTTCCACAATATATTCCTTTTAACATCATCTAAAACTTAATTTCTTATTTTCTTATTATTCTACTCTCTTCTGTAATTCCTAATTTGTCTGTAATTCCTAATTTGTCAACCACCCTTTTGTCATTTCACACTCTCTAACAAAATGATTCAAATTATCCCTCCCCTTATCACGGAATACATTTCCTATTCTTTTCTTCTAGCCAATATTTATTCTTCTTCTCCATGTTTTCACATCTCGTTCTTGCTAAAACTATAATACCTTTACTTATATCCCATTTATCTAAATAAGTTTAATATTAATTTTCTTGAATATTTAATATTTTACCAAATGTTTTCATTAATTTATTTTCTTGTTTTTTTCAAAGACACAAGAGGAGCTGCAAGTACCTTGGCCTTTGGTGGCAGCTGCTCTTGATGGATCTGTAGCAGCTAACATTACAGTAACAACACAGGATGAATGCAGCGAAACTTCTACAACCGATTCTACCACTGCTTCGCAACAATTTATTAATACGGACACCAATGTAGAATCCGTTAACTGTATCCAATTACCGGTTGTTCAAGGAACTACGTTTCAATCGGATGGTTTGGCCATCAGTACGCCAGGAAACAGCTGCATTATGAAGAGCTTGCAATCGCAAAGTCCACCGATTATCACATTTCCACAATTACAATCTATCAGATTTGTACAAACCAGTTTTAATCCAGAGCAAGATACTACATCTTTAATTACAAATAACTCGCCTACAATCTCAGCCCAGCCTCAACAAAGTACTACCGCGCAAATAAATATGATACGAACACAGGATACCATCACCCAAATAAATACTCAAAACAATAATACATGCAATAATGTAAATCAGAATGCCATTGCGACGCAGAGTCAAGTACAAAATACTCTATCAACTACAATGGGAATACAATCTCAGACTCGTGCGCAGAACGCGATTGTTATACAACATCAAACTGCTGCTTCAACTCAATCTCGACAAATTGCAGCTGCTGTGCATCAACAACAACCACAACAACAGCAGCAGCAACAACAACAGCAGCAATATGTCGGATCATCGATAACAATTTCATCGCGACCATCGCGCATATCTAATCAAAGCAGCCAAAGAAGCTCCAGAAACAATAAAGAACAAGGAGGAAATAGATCGAGAAGTTCTACAAAAGAGCCTCCAGGTGCTGTCAATTTGGAACGCAGTTATCAGATATGTCAAGCGGTAAATTAACTTAATATCCAAACGACAATATATATATATAATTTCATAACGTCTTTTATATTACATTACGCACGCACGCACACGACATTATGAAATTATAAACTTATCAAGCGTGCAAGATTTGTACATTGGTAAATAAAGAAACGTATGGTATTATTTTAGGTCATACAAAGTTCACCAAATAGAGATCAATTGAAAGCTCATTTAAAACCACCACCTAGTCTACTCGCAAGAGGAGATGGTGCATTCACAACCAGTAAATCTGGTGGACGCACCGTGACAACTGTCAAACCTCAGAAAACGCAACAAGTGATACAACATAACAAACAAGCTCAAAATAAAACACAAGCAGTTATGTTGAGACATGTATTTGCTACAGCGCGTCAAGCTACATCAACTGAGGTATGTAACATATATTAACATATATTAACATGTTAAATTATATTTATATATTTACTTGTGTTTTTTTTTGTGAGGCTTGAAATTTACATTAAGGGTAAAATATTGTAATTTATGTTATGATATAATCTTCTCATAAATCTTCTCGTGATATTTTCATGTGAGTTATGCAAGTAAAACAATTAATATTTTTAAACAATTTGTAACTTGATAAAAAAGTCTTAAGAAAAATTATAATAAATCAAGAAAATATATCTAATAGTCATGATAAAATAATTTTTTTAATTCTCGAGATTGCTTTCTAATATTTTTCTTGTATATATTGGATATTTGAACATACTTGCATACTATTTTATTCTTTTCTGTGTGTACAGTGCTAATCTTGCGGGTCGCTTGTGATGATCTCTGTATCATACAGGTACCTAAATAAACAAATCTTTACATTATTTGTGGGTTTCTAATTGTAGTAGAGAAATAGTGCGACTTTAATTGTCAGAGGCAATGACGGTAGCGAGACGCGCAACAAATTTTTTTATCCATAAAAATATGATAAAAATAATGATTAATGTATTATGTTACACAACTAGAAGATAGGCTTCAAAAAGAATACCGTGATTGAAACATAATTGTATTATATATATATATATATATATATATATATATATATATGGTATATATATATGGTATATATATATATATATATATATATATATATATATATATATATACCAGTATCTATAGTATATATAGTATATATATATATATAAATATATATATATATATATATATATATATATATTTCTACTGATAGACAATAGTAACTTGAATACAGCAAATACAAATTATGTCGGATGTTTATAATGATTAATTATATTCTCAATGCTTTTTTATAGATTACAGAAAGCACCCCTATAGCACAGCTTGGTTCCACCACCAGTAACAATTTCGGGCAATATATACTTGTACAAAGGACAGGAGTTGGGGATGGCGCACCAAGAGCATCATCCGCTCCCCCGTTACCACCGCAGATTGCAGGGATGGGCGTCGGAGTCCATTTGGTTCGAGGTAGACCGGCAAGCGCCGGGGAAGGTTCTCATCAAGCCGTTACTCTGAAAGCAAGAGGCGCGGATAGTAGAGTGACCGGTGGTGCGGAACCCGGTGCACCCGGCATGATAATCGGCGGTGACCCACCACCCCCGTGTGAATGTAATATGCGAGGAGCCATGGTAATTTGTCGGCAGTGTGGTGCCTTCTGCCACGATGACTGCATCGGGCCTCAACGTATCTGTGCTACCTGCCTCATACGTTAATCATTCTTTATTCAATCATTCGTGTATAAATTTAATAAGTCCGTTATCAGATAAGAGTGCTGATCATCTATTACAATATTGGTAAATTAAAGAAACCAAACATACACATCGTAATGACACATTTATTAGACAATATATATACAAGAGATATATTATATATAACAGAAGTTGTGCGGCATATACATACATATACATAAAGTATGATCGAAAATTTGGGAGATATAATTTCTGCAGCAATTTACTAAATAGTACATTGCAATCGATGTCCTATTGCATTTGATTAGGAAACAGAAGTTAACATATCGATGTGTAGTTTTGGAAAAGTATTATATTTTTTAAAGAAGGTAATATTAAATTAAAATTTTAATATAATTTTTCTTTAATAAACATTGTTCTCGATTCTTTAATCACGCTGTACAATATGTTAATATATAAAATTAATTATCAAATTAATTAAAATTAATCTATTAAAATTAATTGCCAAAGTAATTTCTTTCAAGCACCATTAAATGTAAAAAGTAAAAAAGCGAACAATAATATTTCATTCATCAAGTTATGGCTGTGTATATTTTATATTCTCTCTGATATTTTATTTGTATTACATTTTTTATTATATTATGTACAATTTTTAGAACATTCATAGCTTACAAAAGTTTTATGCGAACACGTATGAATATTTATATTTTTGAACTGTTTTCTTTTTCTTAAATTTTCTACTCTGTTGGAGTTATTATATATTAATGTAGATATATCAATGTAGATTTAAATAAAGATTTTACTTTTTACTATATTTTTTTATTATAAAATTATTACATTAAATTGTGCATTTGAAACAATCATTTCTCAAATGTGGTGATTTGGTGTTTCAAGATACAATAAAATAAAACTATTTTTTTGGCAATTCATTTTAACAAAAATTGTCTATGTGACTGTAATAGTTGAGTAAAATTCTTTAGTCTCTGAAAATTACAAATTACTATCCAGCACTCTTATATTAACGGAAATTTTTATAAATTGAGGGTAATAAAGGATACAGTTGTGGGTATTGAAAGATTCAATATTGCTACATTATACAGCAAATAAAAAAATATAAATATTTATTATTTCTCTCATATTTTATTGTTGTCTTGCCTATTATAATTTTATTGGAAATTGACAAGTATCTATAAAATGCATTGCTCTAACACAAATAAAATAATGAAATGTATAGATTTTGCATTGTACACAAAACTAACAAGTTAGAGTTTGTATAATTATAGTGATACTTGTACCTAATTATATTTGTAAAATTGATATATATTATTTACTGAAAAAAAATTATTGATATCAAAATTTCTTTAGTTTTTAATGTTTTATTACTGAATTTATTGATTATACATATCTCTACTATTTCAAATCGTGAATAATATAAAAATCAAGGACTATTTAATCATATTTGACAAATAAATATCAAAAAAAGATTCTGATAGAGAAATATTTCATGTAATGTTTATTTTTCCTTTCAAATCATCAAACTCTAGTCTGTATTATATTTATATCACATTTACAATTATTTATTACATTATTTATTGATAACATTATATTTTTATAGGTTTTATATTTTCGTAATATTACCATTTTATATAATTATTAATAAAAATCATATTCATTCATATAATTTTGTAATTTAATTAATAATATTATTTACTATAATTTATTAATGTATATATATAATGGCATTCTCTCTTAGTAATTCCAATATTTCAACTGTATTCTTGAGACCCTTTCTTAAAAGTTTGATATAAATCTCTTATATACTGATCCTTAATACAGTCTTCCACTAAACATCACGCTCTGTATACTTTGTAATATGTATGTTTGTTATTTATTTATTAACACGAATTTTTATTTTTATTATAGCTGTGTAGAGAATATTCTCCTGTACATGTTGATCTCGAAGCTACATAAATCCTTTGTACATGCTCTCTTTAACCATTCTTTTTGAACATAGAATGATCTATTGGACTCTTACATAATATAGTTTAGACATTATTATAGCACATGTATTAGTATATATATGTCAAACTAGTATTGTCGGACATTATGTACAGGAACAGTAATATATCATGAGAATGAATAATTGATTAAGATTAATAGTTTATTACAAATAATAAGAGAAAATTTGAATATTCATAGCTCATAATAGATACATACATACATACATACGTACATACGTACATACATACATATATATACCCACCCAACAAAAATATTGCAGCTACATTGCCGCAACATTGCTGCAATGTTGTAATATTGCCGCAATATTGCTGCAATATTCTGTGTTTGCTGGGTATACACACACACACACACACACACACACACACACACACACACACACAGAGTGTATCGTAATATGTGGGATCCACTTCAAGGATGGATAGGGGGCACACCAACAATGAAAAAAGTTCATATTAACATGTGTCCTATTTGACCTTGTTACAAAATTACAGGACGTTTAATATTTAAATAATAAAATCTTAGACGAAAGATTTCTACGGAAATGGATAGGTCGTGGACCTACTGCCTGGCCTGCTCATTCCCCAGATTTAAATCCATTAGATTTTTATCTATGGGGTCACTTGAAGGCAATTGTGTATTCTGCACACATTGTCAGTGTTGAAGTTCTACGTGTACGTATACAAGAAGCTTGCCAACATATCCGACATATATCTGAAATATTTGAAAGAATGCGACAATCTTTGATACGGCGACTGCATGCTTGCATTCAGAGTGGAGGGTAGCCATTTCGAGCATCTTACATGAATGTAATCGGTTGCCAGTTATTTAAATATTAAACGTCCTGTAACTTTGTAAAAAGGTCAAATAGAACACATGTTAATATGAACTTTTTTCATTGTCGGTGTGCTTCCTATCCATCCCTGAAATGGGTCCCACATGTTGCGATACACCATGTATGTGTGTGTGTGTGTGTGTGTATGTGTGGTGTGGTGTGGTGTGGTGTGGTGTGTGCGCGCGCGCGCGCGCGCGCGTGTGTGTGTGTGTGTGTGTATAGATGTATCGTTTGATTCTTCCTTGATTAACTCTTTAATATTGTTAATTTATACCCAAGAATGATTTATCAAGAAATTATGAACAATTATATCGGTAATTTTTATATGTTTTAATCCAAATTAATTATAGTTAATCTATGTCTCTTTTGTCTTGATTAATCACTCAAACAATTCAAAGTGTTTATCACTTTGAGAAGAGCAATCGATTTCAACTGTTCTTATTTCTTCCGGTTTTTCTTCTAGCTGCATGAATGGGACACATTTATTCTTTCTGACATAAAGATTCGCAATTAGATATTAATTATGAACATCACAGAGTTTGTAAATAAGTCAAATATGCATGTGTAATTTGTTTATACTAGTTCTTGGTTAATTTTGATATTTTAAAATATCTCAGATAATTTTTATTATATTCCTTTATAACTTTCTTTAGAAATTTCAAATAGAATATTTTTTATATGATACATATATATATATAATATGTTTCTTTATCATAAAATAAACTCTTAATTTTTTGCAAATATTCTTGATAAAAAGTTGTCATTTTTATTAATTATATATATACACACATATATATATATATATATATATATATATATATATATTTAATTTACATCTAATTTATAATTATTATCAATTTTTACTAAAAAATATTTTAGAACTTGTATATTTAAGATTTTATTTAAGATTTTATTTCAATAAAAATCTAATATGTATGTCGCAGAATCAGTCAGCATTCTTACATCAAGTTGCCAAGTTCTGTATTAAAAACCATGCACATATTTAAATAAAAAAATTGTTATTTGTATTTTGTATTTGTAGAAAATCATATACATATATACGAATAAAAATAAGAAAAATCAATAAAATCATACACATACACATAAAAAAAGAAAAAATGACAGGGCAGTAGAAAATGTGATGACTGAGATTATATGGATTACGGTGGTGCAGTGGTGTATGGTGTTTTATGTACATTATATTCATTCTATTTCCTCTCTCCCTATATGTGTATACAATCATTATTAGACCTTCTGTCATATTATTGTTACAATCGTATAACGATTGAAGGTTTTGAGGCAATAATATGCTAAGTGAAACGACGTGTTAGATCTTAAGCTCATATTTATTTGCTACTTTGTGTTATGGATGAAATCATCTATATTATTTAGAAGAAACACTATGAAGAACAATATGAAGAAATAAGTTCGAAAATTTCTTGTATACCTGAAATTGATCTTGTGTGTGAGTTAATATATTATTGTCATGGCCCATCAACTTATGCTTAATGTAATTTAAGAAATATGCATTAAATTGTGTCATACTTTTTCTAAGTATAATTATGTTACTTTTCGATATAGATTATCTGTTATATATGTCGCCATAATGTTAATTTTTTATCTATAATAGTAGCAATTATATATTGTATAATTATATATATATACATATATATATATATATATATATATATATATATATATATACACACACACAGGGTGTTTCAGACCACCTGTACCACCCATTTAAAAAATAGAGAAGTGGTTATTTCAACAAAGTAAAAACATTTTCTTTATAAATCGAATGCGCTCTATCGAATGGTGATATTTTTAACTTCTGGTTCCGAAAATAGGCGATTTAGACAGGAAGTGCATTTTTTTAAATGGAACTCCCTATTTTTCATTGCATATTCTTGTAGCTTACCTCTCGAGAACTTTCCAAAACACTATAATAAATTATTTTTCCATGAAGTACTTTTCGAGTTATGAGCTTAAAATCATTTCTTAATTTTACATAAACCATAAAATATCTTGTAAAATATTCATTTTTCGATTATCTTACCTTAATACTTTTATGTACAAAATAATGAGAGGAATCAATTGGTGTAAAGAAAACACATAGTTGTTTTTAAGAAAAAATATGGAATTGTTAATTGCAAATTACATATTTTTTCTTAGAAACAACTATTTGTTTTCATTATATCAATTGATTCCTCTCATTATTTTATACATAAAAGTGTTAAGGTAAGATAATCGAAAAATGAATATTTTACAAGATATTTTATGGTTTATGTAAAATTAAGAAATGATTTCAAGCTCATAACTCGAAAAGTACTTCATAGAAAAATAATTTATTATAGTATTTTGGAAAATTCTCGAGGTAAGCTACAAGAATATGCAATGGAAAATAGGGAGTTGCATTTAAAAAAATGCACTTCCTGTCTGAATCGCCTATTTCCGGCCGGAACCAGAAATTAAAAATATCACCATTCGATAGAGCGCACCCGAGTTATAAAGAAAATGTTTTTACTTTTTTGAAATAACCACTTCTCTAGTTTTTAAATGGGTGGTACGGATGGT